ACTTTGGCTTTTTTTTATTTTTTATTTTTTAATTGCGTTTGAAACATTTTGAGATGTTAGTTCGTTTATTTATGTTTTTAAATTAGAAAAATTACTTATTGTTGTTTTTAAAATACGTCTGCAATTAATAACAATTATTATATTTAGAATCTTGAAAATTTATAATTTGTCATTAAATATAAGTTTTTATGACACATGTAATTGTAGAGAAATACTCACCTACCCACGGTGGGAACAAGTTAATATGTCCACCGCGTAGGTGACATCCACTCATTGGTGATGTATTTTTTAAAACATATTAACATCACCAATGAGTGGATGCCACTTACGCGGTGGGTATATTAACATGTGTCCACCGTGGGTAGGTGAGTATTTCTATGTAATTGTAATGTATTTGTTTGGATTCGTCACCATACCAAAACTTTAAAATGACGATAAATTTTCTCACTAAATATTTATCTTTCCATGACAACTTATGTTGCCATTTTATCTTAAACTTCTAATGACAATCTTTTCTTTGTAATCATAGGGTTGATAATTTTTGACAAAAGAATTCGTCGTTTTTTTGTATGTTTTTTAGAGACAATAAATATTTCATCACTACTATTTTTTTATGACATTTTCTGTTATCGCCATATTATAAATTTCTTTCTGTGACGACTAATATTTTGTAATTATAAAATAACTCTTTTATGACAGATTATATGAAATATGACGATTTTTATAATGGAAATGCCACAAAGATATTCGTCACTGAAATTTAATAAATTTGATGAAATAATAAAATTCGTCATTAAAACAAATAAATTATATGAAAATGTTAAGTTTTCGTCATTTAAAACTTGTCCTTTGGTGACAAAATAATCGTTTACGTGACAAAATTCTCATAATAAATGTGACAAAATTATCGTCATGAAAGTTGACCAGATAACATGACGATACATATAATCGTCTGAACAAATAACATGACGATACATATAATCGTCATTAAAAGTGAAACCTTTGGTGACAAGTTTGAAATTTGTCACCTACACCTAATATGACGCGGCTACGGTGACGATACCTGTGACGATAAAATTTCGTCATCAATTTACTTTTGTGACGAAAAATAAGTTTTTCATGACGAATTTTATCGTCACATTTTCTAAAAATTCTTGTAGTGAGTCGGGAAGCTAGGGAGTCGGGAAAAATTATTTCAAGTTCTATTTTTACACCAACACATTAATCATTCTATTCTAGATTGATGCTCTCGCTTAAATATCTAGCGGTTTGCTCCCAGTAACTCTTCGTAACAAGGGATTGAACATAGATGAACAAACTCGAGCGTACGACATAGGCCAATTATCCAATCCCAACAACTTTTGTAACAATGGACGGGTCATCAACAAGCACGTATTTCAATCAAGACCCTATAGATTATTCAGTCACAAAATCTTCTACCTCATGCGAGCCTAGGTCTACGACTTCTCCCATTTCGGTTCTAAAAGTCGCTAATTCAATTAGAAGGTGTTTAATCAACTAATTATATAGAATCAACAAACTCTAACTCGACAAATTAACATTCAATTGTCACTAATTGCAAGACCGAAATGTCACTTTTCGATTATATCAATCTGTCAAACAAGAATTCAACAATTCTAAGTCAAATCAACCCACACAAGAACGAACGATTCAAGTCCGAAAAATACATGTTAAACGAGAACAATCATCCCCTATCCCTAGCAGTTAGATTTGGCTAAGCATAATGAATTCAACACGATAATCAATTCTCCAAATTCAACCATTATTAATGAATCAAAGAAGAGAGGAAAGAAACTTACGACTAATCTCAAATCCACGTGTTGAATACGTAATACAAGCTTAATCCAAAATAAAAATAAGAAGAAGAAGTAAAATGGAGAATAAAGATTAAGAGAAGAGAAAAAAAAATGGAGAAGAAGAAGAAGGGAATGAGAAAAGAATGTTTTTCGTGGTGTTCTCGGTCCTAGGGTACGTCCCCCGAAGGGGAGAATGATCTCACAATCGTTCAAGAAATCTACTTTTAAAACCTATTTTTGCGACCTCCGCGGACGCAGAGAGGCCCGCGGGTCGCGGTGAAGAAATCCTCTGTGGCCGCGACTTGCTCCTAAGCCGCGGGATTTCTTGCGCTGAAGTTTTGGGATGCTGACAGCTTTTTGTTCGCCGCGACCGCAGTGAAGAAGAGGTCCCGACTGCGCCGATGAAATCTGGTGCGCGCAGCTTTACGTTTCGGCCTCGTTTGAACTCGTCCGAACTCATAATTGAGTGTCGCTTTTTCCTACGCGTCGCCAACGAACCCTTCTAGTCAATTATGCTTTTCCATCAAATATATTCCTGATATCCTAATCTCCCAAAGCTTATGACCTTCACACCAAAAATGTGTTTCACGCGACTTCGCGTTTTGGGCTTGTTTGAGCTCATCCGACCTCGAAATTTAGTTCTGCTTCTTCCTATATGCCGCAAACAAACCCGTCTACACAACAATGATAGCCCGGTTAATTTTCAGGCTAAATCTATTCCTCACAGTATTCCGACCTGCACACCCAAAAGAAAAATCAGAAAAACATACGAAAAACACAAGAAAGACCAAAATAGAGCAAACCACGAAATAAACTACAAAACAAACTAAAAATCAACTAAAAGACCTAATATGGGGGTAAAAGAAAGGAAAAATAACATGAAAAAACGTAACAAAAATGGGACAAACAACTCTCCGACACTCAAACCTTTGTTTGTCTCGAACAAAAAGAAAAGAAAAAGAATAAGCAAAAAAGGACAACGGTTCAAGCAAGACCAATCTCAAACCAATCAATCGAACTAAGAAGAATTCCAATGATTACAAGAACAAACCTCAACTATTAACTCAGTTATTTTGAAGAACAAAGACTCTCGAGTACAAAAGTACATATATGCCTCACTCAATTTCTTTCACAAAATATAAGAGAGGTGCTAAAATTGGTCGCAGTCAAGTCAATCATAGATTTGCCTGTCATCTAGCCTCTACTGTAAAACAATCAAATTCATGTAATAGTGAACCAAGAGAACTTAAAGGGTTGCAATGTAGGCTCTTTGGACCAGGCAGGATAAATATAGGCTAAGTGGCATAGGCATCAGAATAGGCATCAAGATCAAAATAGAACCGAGGAATGGCTCCATGCACTATTTGAAACAAATATTCAGCTCCTGCACAAAGGCTACAGAAAAAGAAACAATCAAGAACTTTCATGAGGAAACTGCTAATGGATCTCTTCAAAAATATTTTCATACAATTTAAAAGAAGTTAATGAGGAACAACAAAATAAAGCACTTCCTTATAACTTTTGGGATGATTCTAAACAAAAAATATGTGGACTTCTGTGTATGGGAAAAAAGCGAAGCATAAGCGATGGATATTGTGATGCAGTTGGATTTGAACATAAACATGTTTTCTCATAATTGAAAAGGTCCAAATGAAGACAGATATTCAGAATACACACAATTATTGATCCTAATTTACAAATAACAAGAAATGCAGCATAATGCATCATTTCAATAACTGCCTTCACAAAAAAATAAAAAAATAAAAAAAATAATGAGTATTAGTGTCAGCAGGTTTAGATTCTCGACATAGCACTCACCTTGATAAAGAATTGGACAATCCCAAGATTGACACAGCAGTAGTAACATTTGGGTTATTGATTTTCACCTCCTCATTCAGAGGAACATCTCGCATACTCTGTCACAATGAGGAAAAGAAAAGAAAACCGTTGAAATATAATCAAAACATTTCAAAAATAGATAACTGAAGTTAGATCAAACAGGGACTTTAGTCTAATGGCAAGAACGTACTCTAAGCCACGTGCTAACAGAACAAGAAAATGCTCTTAGAGTCGACGGAGTCGAGCTCTTAGATTTCTCAATTTTGTTCACCATAACATCAACTAGTCGTAAACAAGTTGCAGCATATGAAAACTGATCAAGGATACGATACAAACTCGTATGTGAAAGATGATTCAAGAAAATCCCCTTTTTGTAGTGAAAACACTGCCTCGTCTCATTCCAAGAGAATAGTGAACTCGCTAGACCTTGAAGCATTTGTAACACTCCTCGAACCTGAACAAAAAATGGAATAAATGAAAAATCACCACCCAAATAGAAAGAGAGAGGTAAAATGAATAACAACAAAGGGGGACAGTGTAAAAAAAAACACACACACACACACACACACTTAAAGTAGCTACAAGGTCGAATTCATTTGTCCTCAAAGACAAAGCTGGAGATGCGAAATGTATGCCACCACCAGTGAAGGATCTGTGGATACTGTCGATCAAGTTTTCACAAGCCTCCATCTCCTACAGCTCAACTAAAGCATACACTGATGAAAAGAAGGGAGAAAATAAAGAGGTGGGGAACTAAAGAAATGGAAAGAAAGGAAAACTTGTTGAGCCCACATATCAAACAATTGAAGGGCAGCATCAAATCAAGGTTGTGGGGAGAAAATGTTAGAAGAGGGTGTTCAGGGATCAGGGGTACCTGCTGTGTTCATTTAAACAGCACCTGTTGTGTGTGTGCTCCCCACCCTTGGATGATGTTAAGTTAACATTATTATTAAATAATGTTAACTTAACATCATCCAAGGGTGGGGAGCACACACAGCAGGTGCTCTGTTCATTTACACAGCAGGTACCCCCAACTCGAAGTGTTGGGCTCAGATGCGCAAATGCGGAAGATGTAAATTAAAATATTAAAGTAAAATGGTGAATAATAATCCCAATCCCAGCAACTCAAGAATGACAAAAGAAAATCTCTTGCAATAAAACAGGAATAATTCTTTTCTGATGTGGAAGTTCAGATTAAACTGCGACCACAGAGCATACTAAGAATATTCCCAATAAATAAATATGCAAGAAATAAGACACCAAGATTTAACGTGGAAAAACCTCCAAATAGAGGAAAAAACCACGGGATAACCTCCGAATAATTCCACTATATTTTCAAGATAATTACAATATCTTTTCACACTCCCTTACACTAGAAATGTAAAATATAGTGACCTAGTGAGAACCCCACTCATAAACAAGAAGTAATAGAGTTGATACCCAACCCGGTGTATTTTTTCCATACTCACAGGATTTACTCAAACACTCTATTTTTATCTCACTGAAAAATAACACTCACAAGATGTTATTTCTTTTCTCTTTTTCTTTCTGCTCCTTGGTGCGTCCTTCAGCACTGCAAACGCTGCTATTTATACTGAAGAAAGGTTCATGACAGCACACTTTTTCAATTATGATTAGCATCTCATTTGCTGGATTTTGTTTTAAACAATAGTTGGCTTTTGTTTTGTTGTGGTTGGCCACCATGTGAAACTTTTGTGTGTGTGTCTGTATACCACATTTTTTATTTCTTATTGTGGCTGGAACTCACAATTCTCCCCCTCCAGCCAAAGGGTAATATTCTGCAAATCTCACATGCATTCCAGGCCGATCAACTCGGCACAAAGCTGAAGCTTTCCCCCTGTTACAACTTTCATCATCATGTCAGCAGGATTATCGTCAGTGTGAATCTTTTCCAACTTGAACTGTTGTTCTTCCATTGCTTGACGTAGCCAATGATATCTGACATCAATGTGCTTCGTGCGAGAGTGGTACATCGCATTCTTACTCAAATCCAATGCGCTCTGACTATCACAATGGATATTGTACCTTTCTCGCTTCATTCCCAATTGTTGTAGAAACCTCTTCAACCAAAGCATTTCTTTTCCTGCTTCTGTCATTGCAATATACTCTGCTTTAGTAGTCGACAAGGCAACAGATTTCTGCAATTTAGATTGCCAAGTTACAGCTCCTCCTGCAAATGTAAACACAAACCCTGAAGTAGATTTTCCACTATCAAGGTCATCTGCCATATCCGCATCTGTATAACCTTCAAGAATTGGGTTTCCTTTTCCGAAGCTCAAGGACTTATTTGCACTGCCTTTTAGGTACCTAAAGATCCACTTCACAGCTTCCCAATGATCCTTCCCAGGATTGGAAATATACCTGCTAACAATTCCAACCGCGTGAGCGATATCTGGTCTTGTACAGACCATGTCATACATCAAACTCCCGACTGCTGAGGAGTATGGAACACCTGCCATAGCTTCTTTTTCTTCTTGACTCTTAGGACAACTTTGTTTGTTGAGCTTGAAGTGATTGGCCAACGGTGTATTGACCGTCTTAGCCGATTTCATGTTGAATCTCTCGAGAATCCGATTCACATACCGTTTTTGCGATAACCATAACCTCTTGGATTTTCGGTCTCGCATGATCTGCATGCCCAAAATTTGTTTCGCAGGGCTTAGATCCTTCATTTCAAAGGACTTTGCTAAATCCTTCTTCAAATCACCAATCAGCTTCATATCATGTCCCACTATTAACATATCATCTACATATAACAAAAGGATAATGAATTTATCACCTGGAAATTTCTTAATGAACACACAATGATCTACATCAGTCTTGGTATATCCATGGCTCGCCATAAACGAGTCAAATTTCTTATACCACTGACTAGGAGCTTGTTTCAGTCCATACAAGCTCTTCTTCAATCTGCAAACCATCTGCTCCTTTCCAGTCTTCTCAAATCCTTCTGGTTGCTCCATGTAGATTTCTTCATCTAAGTCTCCATGAAGAAATGCAGTCTTCACATCTAGTTGTTCAAGCTCCAGATCCAAGCTAGCCACCAATCCGAGTACTACTCGAATAGATCTTATCTTCACAACCAGAGAGAATATCTCATCAAAATCTATTCCTCGCTTTTGTCCAAATCCTTTCACTACTAAGCGAGCCTTGTACTTCAACAGCTTGTCACCATCTTTCTTAAGCTTGAACACCCATTTGTTTTTCAAGGTTTTTTTGCCTTCCGGAAGCTTCACAAGCTCATAAGTTTCATTTTTCACAAGTGAATCCATTTCTTCTTGCATAGCTTTCATCCACTGGGATTTATCCTTATGAGTCTGTACTTTTTCAAAGCTTTATGGCTCTCCTTCTTCAGTGATGGTTATATATGTGGAACTAGGGTATCTCGTAGATGGTTGGATCGCTCGGTTTGATCTCCTGAGCTGAGGCGGAGCTTCGAGGTCTTCCTGCTCAACACCATCACCATCACCATCTTCTATGGCTGGCTCATCATCAACCCTGAGTTCTTCATCACACTCTCCCCCTGCTGTGGCATCTCCAGGAGGTTTGACAGGTGAAAGATCCACCTTTCCACTTGGTTCTCTAATTTTTGGTGAAGCAGAATCAAACATAGTTTCTTGCTCATGGAACACTACATCTCTGCTTCTGATAATTTTTTGATTTTCTGGATCCCATAACCTGTAGCCAAATTCCTCATCTCCATAGCCCAGAAATATACAAGGAATGGCTTTATCGTCAAGTTTTCATCTTTGTTCCTTGCTTACGTGAGCAAAAGCTTTGCATCCAAACACCTTTAAATGAGAGTATTTAACATCATGTTCGGACCATACTCTCTCAGGGATATCAAAGCCCAAAGGAACAGATGGAGATCGGTTGATCAGGTAGCACGCCGTTAGAACAGCTTCACCCCAGAATGGCATAGGTAGCTTAGCCATTCTTAACATACACCTTACTTTCTCCATAATGGTTCTATTGATTCTTTCAGCCACACCATTATGTTGTGGGGTTCCTGGTACAGTCTTCTCATGCCTGATGTCATGATCAGCACAATAATTCTTGAATTCATGGGAATTATACTCCCCCCCATTATCTGAACGAAGACACTTCAAGGGTTTACCAGCTTGTCTCTCCACCATAGCATGAAACCTTTTGAAGTATTAAAAAACTTCACCCTTCGTTCTCAAGAAATACACCCACAATTTTCGTGAAGCATCATCGATAAATGTCACGAAATATCTGCTACCACCGAGACTCTCCACTTCCATGGGTCCACATACATCAGAATACACCATCTCCAACACATTTTCTTTCAGCTTCGAGGTTTTGCTGAAAGACACTCTATGATGCTTCCCAAAGAGACAGTAATCACAAGGATTCAGTTTTGAATCTTTGGCAAATGGGATGAGGGACTTTCTTGCCAAAATTTGTAATCCTTTTTCACCAATATGAGCCAGTCTTTTGTGCCACAAATTTGGCGAAGCATCATCCTCGACTGCATTTAATCCATCCTTGATCAGCTTCACTTGAGTTCTGTACAGTGTCGATCTCACTATACCTCTAGCAGCTAACAACGATCCTTTGGTAAGCCTCCACGTGTCGTTACCAAAATTATTAGTATAGCCTGCTAGATCCAATACATGCACAGAGATCAGATTCAGACGTAAGTCTGGTATATGTCGTACGTCCTTCAGTGTTATTGTGCACCCAATATCAGTTTGAATGCACACATCACCAACTCCCACAATATTTGAAATGTTGTTGTTGCCCATCTTTACTCTACCAAAGTCTCCTTCTTTGTATAGAGAAAAGAATTTCTTGTGAGAGGTTGCATGGTATGATGTTGCTGAGTCAATGACTCATTCAACACATGAATCTGCAATGTGACACCCTTCTTCTTCAACAGAGAGCAACACCACTTCCCCATTGATCGCAGGGGTTGTGGTATTTTCACCGTTCTCTGATTTGTTGTTCCTCCAACCTCTGTTCTTCCAAGCTTTGCAGTTTCTTTTGTTATGCCCTTCTTCACCGCAGTGATAACACTTAAACTTTTTCCTGGGTTGAGATTGTGATTTATCTCTGTATTTGTTATCCTGGCCTCTTCTTTTACTTCTCCCCCTGGTTTCTGTGGCCAGGGCTTGGAAACTGCTTGCCTCAGAGTCTTTTCTTCTTGTTTCTTCATTAAACATACTGTCTTTGACTTGGGTCAAAGTCAGTTTTCCTTCAAGGGCAGAGTTGCTCAACGAGACCACCAGAGTCTCCCAGCTATCCGGTAAAGAACTCAAAAGTAACAGCGCCTGCAGCTCTTCATCAAGTTTCATTTCCATGGTAACGAGTTGGTTCACCATGTCTTGAAACTCATTCAAGTGTTGTGCAACCGATCTTCCATCCCGATATTTTAGATTTACAAGCTTTCTAATGACGAAAGCTTTATTCTGTGCAGTCTTCCTCTGGTACATCTGTTCAATTTTGTTCCACAGTGTATGGGCTTTCGACTATGTGGCAACATGGTGGAATATGCTGATATCCACCCACTGTCTGATTAAACTGACAGCCTTCCTGTGTAACTTTTTCCAATCGTCATACTTCACATCATCTGGCTTGTTGTCTCCCTTTTCTACAGGATCGTACAGATCTTTGTAGAAAAGTATGTCCTCCATTTTTGGCTTCCAAATGGAGTAATTTGTTGCTGTGCGCTTCGCCATGGTACCCACATTCTCCTCCATTTAACTTACACTGGTCAATACAGAGCCCAACCTGATATCTGATACCACTTGTTGGGCTCAGATGCGCAAATGCGGAAGATGTAAATTAAAATATTAAAGTAAAATGGTGAATAATAATCCCAATCCCAGCAACTCAAGAATGACAAAAGAAAATCTCTTGCAATAAAACAGGAATAATTCTTTTCTGATGTGGAAGTTCAGATTAAACTGCGACCACAGAGCATACTAAGAATATTCCAAATAAATAAAATATGCAAGAAATAAGACACCAAGATTTAACGTGGAAAAATCTCCAAATAGAGGAAAAAACCACGGGACAACCTCCGAATAATTCCACTATATTTTCAAGATAATTACAATATCTTTTCACACTCCCTTACACTGAAAATATAAAATATAGTGACCCAGTGAGAACCCCACTCATAAACAAGAAGTAATAGAGTTGATACCCAACCCGGTGTATTTTTCCCACACTCACAGGATTTACTCAAACAATCTATTTTTATCTCACTGAAAAATAACACTCACAAGATGTTATTTCTTCTCTCTTTTTCTTTCTGCTCCTTGGTGCGTCCTTCAGCACTGCAAACGCTGCTATTTATACTGAAGAAAGGTTCATGACAGCTCACTTTTTCAATTATGATTAGCATCTCATTTGCTGGATTTTCTTTTAAACAATAGTTGGCTTTTGTTTTGTTGTGGCTGGCCACCATGTGAAACTT